ATAAACACCCTTTAACTTTCTTCTAACTATGCTTATTAATGTCTTCAGGTAATATTTCTGTAAGCCAAGAGATTTCCATTCCATAAAGGTCTCTCAGGTATAGCATGCTTTGAGCATTTCCTATATTTTCAGGATTATCCCACTTGGTGACTGAGTTCTGCAGGCATGTGGGACAGGTAGAGCCAAAGCTAATGACTATAATTCAGAACCCACAGAAGTGACCAAAGTGTGTGGTGACAGCCAAAGTACATTCCTTCCTGACTGTCCTGTGCAGGCAGCTGTGAAAGAGAGTTTGGAGTTAAAATAAAAACTTCTCTTGTTACTTATCTTTCTACTGTCAGCCATTAAGGCCTGTTTCCCCATCTTTAATACTCTTTTTGGCTAATATGCATGTACATAGGTTCTAAAGGCTAATTACCTGATTTTTAAAGTTTACCTCAAATGGCCAAAGAAGCATAGCTTCAGTAATAATATAATATAATACAGGTAACAGCAATGACAAAAGGGTGGTATTCTTTTTTTTTTTTTCTTAACATAGATATAGACACACACCCAGCTGATGCAATACTTTAAATATGTATGGATTTTATTTACTTACAAACTATAATACGTTGAGGATTTCACAGATGCTTTTTGGAACATTGATGCCTTTTTCAGGAGGACTAAGATCAGTGATTGTTGCAGGATGGAGCAACTAGAGTCACGCATCGTCCTCAAGGTGTCACCAAAATTGTGGATTTAAGGCTTTATATGGATCTAGTAAAAGAAAAACAGTTACTGAATTTCTGTGTTGGTAATGTCTTGTTACAGTTTTTTTTGTTAAGTTTTAAGTCGAAGGTTGTTTTTATCTTCAGATTTGTGGGGGAGATTTATTTAGTTTTTTTTTTTTTTTTTTTTGCAGTTTGTGTTCATAGAAATGACACTATGAAGCGATCTAAATGCAAACAAAAAACTACCTATTCACTGTGGCTGGGATAAACGGGAGGATGTGGTCACCGTGGTGTCTAGCGAACATTTGAACCATCAGTGCCTCTTGCAGTGCTTTCATTTGCTTTCATCTGCTGTGCTGTTACAGTATTATTGTCAGGCTTTGAACTTTGAGCTGCACTCCGTCAAAATTTGAGGGCAGCTCAAAGTTAGATGTCACTGTGACTGGACTGTAGAAAACATGGTCCATTGAAAAAAGATTAGCATTTGTTACAAGCTTGTTGGTTAAGAGACACAGTTATGTATGTTTCAACTTAAACAGCAAGTAAATAATTCTTTGAATTACACATAATTTATATTATAATATTCTCTTTTAAAATTACCACATTTAGCTGGTTATAATCTAGTTGACAGATGTTTCAGTCTTGATTTGCAGCATAGAAAGCATTTATCTAAAATTTTAGAGAATTAATGAGTAGACCACGAAAATACAGCATGTTAAGAATAAAAAGTGTCCTTTTTGTTGTTAAAGATAAATGTGGTCAAATGAACAAAAGAACAACTGTGAGGACCAATCAAGCGTCGAGTGGCGGGAAAGGCAGATGAATTGTGGAGGAGCTGTGTTCTGATAAATTTTACTGCTTAATAAAAATGTGACTTTAATAAAAAGTTGAAAGTGGCTTTATTATTTATTTTCTGAATAATTCTTAATTCTGCACCCTCTGGATCAGGATATTATTCTGGAAAAGCACTGCTTTTTTGTCAAACCTTAATGTTTAAGAATATCTAACACATTTTATTCCCAAATATAACGAATAAAAAATATATATTTTTAAATTATTCCATTCATTTACATAGAAAAGCTATGCAAATCACAAGACACAACAATACATTAACATGGTGGTGGAGGTATGATGGTGTGATTCCAAATTCCAAGGACAGCAGCAAACAAAGTGGGCAAAAAAATCCTCCTCATTCATATAAAAGACTTGTGACCATTATCATTGTTAGGCTAAGGGTGTAAGAACTTTTCATTTTCCAAAGGACAAAGTTAGTGTAGATAACTTTAATAATTTTATTTTTAAATCTGCATCTTATATTTACTCTGTTTATCTCATACTTATATTAGTTTTACCAGCTTTAATCACTTTGTTGATCACCTTTTTAACAAATGTGTTTCTAAAAAAAAGTGGAAATTCTAAAGTTTCTTTGTTAACTAAGTAAACAGCATTTAGATCATTCCTAAGGATAAGGAGTCTTTTGGTACCTGGTTGTATAAATAATGGGGTAAATGGTGCCAAAAGTCTAACTGTCCCATGTTCGAAAGCAAACATCCAAAAGTAAATTACAGGGTTTAAAAAAACTGCACATAAGCTCACATTGTATAAAAGTAGGTTGTGTGAAACGACGTTAATTTGGGTGGAACACTATAAGTGATTGCAGAGGAATGCTGGAGATTAGTGGTGAAGAAAGCTGGAGGATGTAAACCGCAGCTTGGGATGTGGGCTGATAAGTGCTGTGTTTTTTGCACTGCGGCCACAATCCATTCCAAGCACTGGGCATTATTATGGCAACTGAAATGTTTACAAGTAGATTAAGGCTTACATATTTAACTGTGAAGCAATTACTAAGAACCTTCACTAATCCAGAAGTACCAACACCATATTGAGTTAAACACAGTCTGTTGCATATTGTTATCATGCCATTTTAAAGTTTTCTTCAATTCAACAAAAGCAAATGTTTTAAATTCTTACTGATTATTTTGTTTGTAGAAACTGAAAATGCATATAACTGTATTTAGCAATCACTCACAAGGAATACCATCCGAACAATACCATCCGAACAAGCTAGTCCAACCCAGTTATTTCAATGATTCAGATGCAGCTGAAATAAATTGCGTTTATTGCAATACAACTAAATCTAAATGAACACAATACTGTAAACGTTAGATGATTATTTATAAATAGAATTCCACTTTATTGTCATTACACTGTCACAAATACAAAGCAATGAAAGGAACTTTCTGCATTTGACCCTTGCCCTTTGGGAGCATTGGGTTGCCATTGCATAGCACTCGGGGAGTATTGTGGGGTTAAGGGTTTTGCTCAGGGACCCATAGTGGCAGTCTTTGGGAGTGGGTCTTGAACCCAGAACCTCTGGGGCCCATGTGCAATTCCCTAACCACTAGGCCACCACTCCCCCACTTAGGTACCAATGAATAATTACCTCTTCTAAAGAGTGCCATTTTTTTTTACACATTGTTGACTTTGTAGCAATAGCTCATTTTAAGCAAGCTAATGGCGACAGAAGACAGGAACAACTGTGCTAGTAAGAAAGAAGCCACCAAGGCAGTGGCAAATGTAACCACAGGATATATATCCATATTTCAGGCACGGCTCAAGGCGCCATTATTCTCCGTTTCTTCATTTTTAAAGGAAAAGTTCGGTCACATTCAGAATTCAAACTTCTGAAAGTATTTTTGAATATAAAATTATTGCATTCTGTTCAATAAGTGATAAATGTATTTAATTAAGAGTAATTTCATTTGAATGTGCTTTACTGGAGACATCCATGTTTGTGAAAGAACACTACTGCTACCTTCCAGTTTGTGACGTCACGGTGCGTTATCAGCTGTTGAGCAAGTCCCAGTGCTGTATCTGGTGTTTGTAACAACGCGCTATTATCCAAGTCATCTTGGAAACATTGTTCTTCAAAATGTTGGCTACATATGACGTGTTGTCTCTCTGGCCAGAAGTTCGATGGCAAATCCTCTTCAAGTTGGTAAACCAATGACAGATCTGTCCGTGAAGGATCATGAATTAGAAAGGTGAAATCACTCCAATTTTTTTTCGGTTATACCAGATGTATTACAACATCCAACTGCCATGTACATGGGCATTGTCAGTTGAACTATAGCTCTCGCAAATTTCAATGGTTTATTTAGCATTCACTTATAAATTTTAGGTATAGATAATGAACCAGTCCTTGCTGGCTGGGTTTTTCCTTTAACACAGCAGTAAGATTTAGGTGCATAAAACATGAAGTTATGGAAAAAAAGTGTTTCCTTTGCAGTTTTACGAAATATACTAATTTTGATACAAAGTGAAACCACCTCATCGAAGCGTAAAACCCCTTTTTTTTTAATCGAAAAACTGGAGGTTTTTTTTTTAAAATAGCAGTGTTTCCATTCACCGAATATATTTTCTGAATTACAATTTGTGCAAATTGATTGTCAATAGAACTGTAGCTACTGGCTCCTCTCAGAGAGGAGACACTGCCAAACAAAACGGAAACAAAAGGGTTTTTTCTTTCTGCTGTACAGAAAAGTAAAGAGAGTATACAATTACACATAGAGGCACATAGTGAGGAATGTATTCAAACGAAAAACTAAGATATTGCTTAAAGGTATTTGCAGCAATAATTATGACTTCAACCAGAAAAGAGACACATTCAAACAAAGAAGCACAGAGGCGAGTTTACACAGGAAAAAAAGTACACAAAGTCCATGGCAGTAGTAGCCATCTCAGTCTAGTAAGGGAAAAAAGCATGAACATTAAGTCAATAGAACGCTCCATGGTAAACAAAAAGCACACATAGTGATGGCACCAAAGGGTCCATGACTTATTTAAGTAAAGAGATACAGCTAAAGCATGAAGCCATGAGCCAAGTGCTCATCTACTAAATTGTAGTATCTTCTCCTTGCAGTACTGGTTTCACATGTAAGGAAACAGAGATTACACTTGTAAGTCATAAATGTATGACAAACTGCTGCTCTACTTTTACTTTTGTTTCATTTTCTGTTTGTTTTTTTTGTTACAAGAAACCTACTTAGAAAATTGAACAAATAATTTGACTTTTTAAAACTGTAACGAGATAAAAATGCATTGCATTACTAACACACTAAACACATAACAAAAAGAGAAAAAAGGGAACATCTTCTGGGAACACTTCTTTTCAACAAAACCCATATCTTTAACCTAATCTGAGTTTAATATAGGAAAAGAGGATTATATAGAAAAAAATAGACATAATGGTTATACTTTTATTGTGAAAAACCTCACCGGAAGTTGAGCTGTATGTTAAAACGTACGGAAACAGATAAGGCTGCTGTATCTCTGCGATTCATCCGGTAAATCCGAACTTCTTGTGAGATATTGAAGATAATAACCGCAATGGTTTGTGATTACAGCCTTTTGTTACGGTGTCTGCCTCGAAAATCAGTGCTTAAATAGATACCGAGCTAACACTTTACTGTTTATCATCTTAGTGAAAGTAAAAGCTTTCTGTAGTTAAAAACAGTAAAACATGAAGCCCATCTCTGTTCTGTATCGAGTGTTTTAAAGCTGTAATTACTGTGTCATACTGTGAAAATGCACAGTTACAATAGATGTAATATCGAATATTGTTTTTTTTCTAAAGTATTTTTAATCTCTTTGACATTTCTGCAGATGGAGTTGAGACTGTCTTGTCTCCTTTCCTTCTTTATGCTTCTCTGGCTTTCTGACAGCCATCCTCTCTCTGAGCGCCTTACAAGTTCTGCATCTAATACAACCTTAAAAAAAGGTAATCCATCTTACTTTAACGGGTATTTTTATGGAGAAAGTCACAAATCAGGGGGATCTTAATATTTTATTTCATTGTTTAAGACACAAATTAACAAATAGGTAAAAGTAACCTGCAACCTTTTAGCCACTTGAAGAACATGCCTTTCACCAAGGCAACATAGGCCTATTTAAACCTTTACTGTGTTTAATGACACCATAAAAAGCCAAAAACTACCTTTAACCCTTTAACGCATTGCATGGATGTAATTTTTATTTATTTATTTTTTTTTCAAACACGTGTTTTGGTCCCCTGCAGGTTTTACTATCCAAAAACAATGTTTTGCTACAGTACGCAGACATTTGTCGAGCACTAGGACCAACTGGGAGACCTCAGCTTAAGCTGAATCCCGCTTCCATCAGTTTGGACCGCCCACAAACTCCTGATTGGACCACCGTCCTTTCTTGTCTGATTGGCTGTCGACACGCTGAAGTTAGTTATAGGGGTGTAACTAATAATCGTTTTGTATCGATCCAACAGCCGACGATCCGATGCATTGACACGTCTGCAAGAGTATCGATTCATGCTTTTCATTCTTCCGGTCTGTTTTGATCCATTTGCTCCTGGACGTAATTCTGACTCCCGCGCTGCGGTGAGGCTAAACCGATTTTGCCCTCCTACCTCAATTCCTTTATCCACTACTCTCGTTCCACTTGCAGTATTTTTTGATGCAAGGCAGAATCAGAATCAATAACACAGAGGCATTATTATTTTTCAGTGAATTAGGTTTTCATTGGCCTAGGTGGAGTACAACTTTGCTACTTCTGTTATTGGCTGTTGTTTCTCAAATAAAATGCATAATGATATTACAGCTTTCATTGATTTATTTCAAATTTGAAACATTGTCTAGCCTGTAGGGTAAAACAAAAACATTTCCAATTAATCAAATCGAATCATTCTTGAGTATCGAAAATAATCGCATCGTTGGGTCAGGAAATTGATACTGAATCGAATCACCATAATGGGTGTGATTTACACCCCCAGTTAGTTATATTAAAAAATACTTGCGTACCCTCAACTTTTGGAATCAAAGTTTTGTCCATGATGCATTGTAATGTTAATTTAAATCCCCTATTGTCCCACAATGGAGAAATCTGTCCTCTGCATTTTAACCCTTCCCCTTGTGTGGCGCCCGGGGAGCAGTGTGGAGTTAAGGGTTCTGCTCAGGGAGCCAGAGTGGAGGCTGTCAGGATTGAACCGGCTACTTGCAACCTTCTCAGAGAAGAATCGTACTGCTCTAACCCAATAATGCAATATATGCTGATACATGTAGCGTGGCATTTATCAGTACTCGCACCCTATCATTAAGCAGTTTCTAAAACAACAACCTACTGCATTAAGTTGTCGGTTTCATAAAAGTTTGCATCCAATTGTTTTCTGATCTATTTCAGATCCCTTTTTATCACATCAATCAGGTTTTGGCCCACTGCAAAATTTTGATTTGTTTCCCATTAAAGCCATTTTTTAGATTTTCTCCTATGTTTGAAATTATTATCCTATTTATGACCCAATAAAGCCAAAGCTGGCTAACGCCCAATTTACACTTAGCCCAGCTCAGCCCTGCTTAATTTAGTAGTAGCCTTTTACCAATAGATGTGCTGTGAAAGTTGCTTCTTGTTGATGAAATCTTTTCTTTTTGGGATTGTATCATTTTGGACCATCAGACTGTCAGGGCTGCTGTTATAGAGCCTGTCACTTTATGCTACCTCTTTACTCACCAATTACATTTAACTGTCCTGAATATTTAACAACAGTTTCTGTCTCTTTGGGAATACATCCACATTGTTGTTGATGTTCTATGTATTGTAGAAAATCTTTTTGTAATTTTAGTGAAATTCCTATCATTAAGACCCACTTTGAGTGAACAACTTATGGTGTTTTTGAATCCAGCCCCAGATGTAAGAGCGGAGGTGGGAAGATACTCTGATGTGGCCAAACAGATCATTGAGCTAGCAGTCTTTGGCGCTGCCCAGAACCGCTCCTACAAGCGGCTGGCTGACTTTACCGACACTATAGGGAACCGGGTCAGTGGGTCACAGAACCTGGAAATGGCTATAAAATACATGTACAAAGCCTTGAGTCAGGATGGGCTGGATGTTCATCTGGGTGAGTTTTAAATGAATGACTAAGATGTTTTATAAACACTTTCATTAAGCCTGTGTGGTTTATTGTATTGTTTGTTCTTTTCTCTTGTTTCCTCTAAAAGAACCAGTAAAAATTCCTCACTGGGTAAGAGGGAAGGAGAGTGCAGAGATGATTGCACCCAGGGCCAAGAGCCTGGCTATACTGGGACTGGGCAGCAGTGTAGGAACACCTCCAGAAGGTAGAGATCAGAATTTATTAAGCTGAGCTCCTTTGTGCTTCAGCACCCTCATCATTATTCATCCCCCATTCATATCTGTTCAGGTATTAAGGCTGAGGTGTTGGTGGTTCAGTCTTTTGAGGAACTGAAGCGTAGAGCCAGCGAGGCGGCGGGGCGGATTGTGGTTTTTAACCAACCATTTATCAGCTACGGAGAGACAGTTTCTTATCGCGCTTTCGGTGCTTCAGAGGCAGCTAAAGTGGGAGCTGTGGCCACACTCATCAGATCAGTAACTCCTTTCTCTATTAACAGGTAGTCAACCCTTCTACAAACTATTGACTGTCCTAAATGCAGATACATTCACATCACCGTGTACTGCCTTCTAGTCCTCACACAGGATGGCAGATCTACCAAGATGGAGTGAAGCGAATCCCCACAGCCTGGATCACAGTGGAGGACGCTGAGCTGATGTGGCGTTTGGCTCAGAATAAACACAATATCGTAGTCAGACTCGAAATGGGAGCCCAGACTTTGCCGGATGCTGACTCTTTTAACACTGTTGCTGAGATAAGGGGCTGGCAGCACCCAGAGCAGGTAGCTATCACTCACTCACATGTACCTGCATGGCTCCTTTATCTCTGTAGACCATCAGACTCAAACCACACTGTTTTTATTTCTTATTAGAGGATTTGTGTGTAGGTAAAGCTTATTTGGTAGATTATCTTAGTGACTTCAAAACCCAGAAAATATTTTTATAGTTAAATAAGTGAATAAGTTGATTTAGCACATTAGACTTGCATCTCCAGGTTGTGTTGCCCAAAGATTTCCCAAACTGTTTGGGTAAGCTTTATTTTAAAGTTGCAAAAGTGTCTGATCTTTAGGGGAATCCGGATACCACAGAGTTATATTATAAGCAGTATAGTTTAAGTTATAAAATAATGTAAATTGGCAGGAAACTTTTTTTTACATTTCCATTTTCTGGCAGCTTTTAGGCAAACAACACAGTGAGTCTGGTTGCTTTAAAGTGTCAAAGCAGATTTTCCCTGCAAAAGAGGGAGAACGGGATTTTCCTCCTGTTGCACGATGGACTTTATCTAAATAAAAACACAACTGAATATTTATTGTTGTTGCTACATGGTGGACTGAACAAAATTGTTGTTAAGAGCCATTAGAATTAAGTGCAAACTGCTGGCCAGTATTTCAGCTCAATGAAGTGTACTTTATAGCTGAGCCACCCCAGTGGAGCAGAGGAAAATTATTCATAGAGGTGACAGATTTAAGGTCTCGACATATTGGAGCTACCCAGCGAGGGCCAGGGCATGAATCTGCTAGAGAAACCATGGAAAGAACTAAAGATTAAGGTGATGGCAAGGAGGCTCTCCATCATTAAAATGCATTTGAAAACACACACAAAGTGTTTCAGCTGGTCATAAGAAGTGTTCAGTGCTGAAATGGCAATAAAGATATTACTGTTTTTAAGAAGGGCATGAATAACCAACCAGCCACTTTAATCAAAAATAGAAAAATAAATATACATTTTTCTCTAAATTAATTCTCCTTTTTCTTTTTTTTTTTTAAATAAACAGCGGTCTCATTTCCAAACAGAGACAAACTTCTTACTTTAATCGAAACTATTTTCAGGCAGTCTGCTAGAAGGTAATAATAATGTGGTGCTGAAGTGTCCTAATTAAGACGAGGATCAGTGGTTTTTTAACCTCTTTTGGCTTTTTAAACTTTCTAGAGGCAAATAAAACCAAAGTTTAAACTTTATTGATTCTTAAACCAGATGTGTAAAACATACTTTAAGCATAAACCTACTGTGAAAATAGCTGTTTTTAGAATAGACAAAAATCCCTCTGAAGATCTGAATACATCTCAGTACTGAGTGCTGATTTATGAGAGTAACATATCAAATGCTTTATTTAAAAAAGCAGAAACCAAAAAACAGTCTGATGTTTTAGGGAACCAATGCCTGGTAACAGTGGTGGGATATTTATGTGTTTTTAATGCTGAATGTCAGGACCAATTGGTACATCCATTTTACATAAAGTACCATGATTTATTTGTGTTCCTTAACCTAAAGAGGTCCTTAAATGTTAAAAGTGGTGAGTAGGTTTTAGCCTTAACAAATGACAACAACCCTGCAGTATAACAGTGGACATGAAGGGACTTTTTGTTAAATGAGACCCTGATGTGTCACAAGTGTGAAGTTTTTACTGTGTGATCTGTGTTATGTTGGGGACTGTTTTATTGTGTTTTGTGTGTGAATAATTGAAAAGGGAAACATTTAAATCGTGCAAGAGCATCGTGCTTACCATTGAAAGCTATTATTAGAAAAGGATTTTTTTGAAAGAGTTTTAAAAAATCATCAGTTTTCTCACAGAATCATTAACCGTTTACATGTTGTTTAGGTTTACCAGATTCAGTGAGTTGATTTTCTCTGTCAGATAGCAATAGAAATCCTGCACTACTTGGCACAGTGCAGTAGGCTTGGTCTTAAAAACACCTCTTCAGAACAAACAGCAAAAAATTCATAAAAGTGTTTAATTATTATATATTTAAAATTCCTTTATATTTTTTTAGCAGTGGTGTATTTCCATACATGATTTTTTAAATGTTTTTTTTTAAGTATCCATATTATACAGACATACATTAATTCAGGCAAATAAACTAATTGCGAGAGACTCAGGAATGCAGGGGTGATGCTGATGCTGCTTTTCATTCCTAACAAAAATGGCTAAGGGGCTTAAAGCCAATCATATCTAGAATATGATACTTTTAAAAGTTCAGACCTCTGCAAACCTAAGCAAAATATTATTCGTGTTAAACTGAATACACGCTTTCTCTTTCAGTTTGCATTTAGAGAATAATACTGTAGGCAACCAGTTTTTCTAATTAAACCTGATTGTCTTGTTGAACATGCGTGATCCCTTGCTCTGAATCACAAGCCGGGCCGGTTTCCTGGTTCTTTTGTAAAGAAGGAAAGACTAATTAGATAAACAACGGCTGATATTTATCAATCTGGAAAACACTGAACAGGAATTTCCCCCATAAGTGTCGCCTATTCTTCAACAAGAATCAGCAAATGGTAAGTATTCAAAACAGCTGCAAATTATCCCTGGAAGAGACGTTCCAACAAGCCGATCATAAGATCGGTCTCATCATACCGTCCTCATCAGGCCCCACTTCATACATTTTTAACATATTTAAAACGAAAGCACTTCCAATTTCTCTTCCCCAGTCAGATTAAAATTAACTGCTTGAAATAAAAGACATAAAAATGCTTTGCTTAAGAGATGTCTTGTATATTAGAGCTGTTGTCGTTCTTGAGCCAACATTAAGTCCATCTTGGTAGGAAAGGGAACTGAAACACATGGTCGGGCTGACATCATGTCTGGCCCTGAAACTTTGTGTTCCAGCTCTCTGTAGCAGCAGTTGTGGCTGGACTGTGTGTGTGTGTGTGTTTGGCTGTGTGTGTGTGTGTGTGCGAGAAAAGAGAAAAAAAGAGAGCACTTGCTTAAAGAAAAATGTACATTTGAGGTTTTGTGAGTCATATCCAGATTTAGGTTGCCCTTTTAATTCCTCCTAGACTGCTGATGTGTTAAAAAAAATTTTCCACCCCCTCAGTGTCCGCCTTTTCCATTTTTCTTTGAAATGAAGTTTTAGTTGTTTATCCCCCTTTAGCAATGTGTGCAGCTTATTGTGCATGTAAACAATCTGCAAAGTTTACACTAAAGGCTGCAGACATTTAATGTTTTATCTCTCTGAATTGTTAGCTGTTTAGGATCTCTGCACTCAATTGTTTAACTGCTAATAAGCACGTATTTCATCATTTTTACAACCTTTTTCCTCCTTCAACTAAATTAAGGCTTGCAGCTCATGCTTGGCTTCTGACATGCTGCTAAACGTTAGCCAGGTTTCACAGTTGGACTGAGCCTGCACCAGACTTATCTAGTTGGGGAAAGTTGGCATAGTTGGACAAAAATCTTCTAGGGTGTGAAGGAGTACAGATGTGTTCCTTAATTCTCTGTATGTTTTGTTTATTAAAGGTTTCTTTTCCTCTTTTTGTGCCTTTTTTTGGTGGCTTGAAAACAAGAAACATAGTCTTTTAAATGTCCCAGATCTCAGTTTGCTTTGATTGCCTCTTCAAACTCTGTACTCTCTGGTCCTTTATCTGTCACAGATGTGAGGCCCTGAGTCTGCTGAAACCGCTTTGTTACGATTAACTCCAAGTCTTTTGAACAGCTCTAAATCTAGGAACTTATGTATGTTCCTATCTTTATTTCTATACATAACAATATCTGTGTTGGTGGATCTACAAGACAGTAAGAAAGCTTAGCGAAGCCACCAACACAAGTGAAAGTTGGTGACGTTTCGACTTTATGCAAGCTGAGCATCAATGCTAAAACAATCCATCTAAAACACTGAGCTCACAAATATGATTTGTGCTTAACCTTGTCCAATGAGACAGTAAACAATGTGTGAGAAGCACAGCCAGATGCCCTACCTGAGGAAGTAATGTGCCGACATGCAAAGTGACTGAAAGAGTTATTTCTAAAGTGTAAATTGTTTCAGCTTCCTGGCAGAAATTGTTACTTCTTGTTTTCCCCAGAGTGCTTTGCATTGCAGGCATTGTCTATAGCATGATGTTAGAGATCAGACACAGTTGAAAGACCCCCCCACATAATCAGTGTTACTCGTGAGGGTTTAACTTATTAAAGCACTTTGCACTTAGTATGAATCCTGCTTAAAATAAGGAAGTTAACATTTAAGCTGTCAAAGCATAAATAAGAGGGAAAAGCCCGTTTCTCCCAGCATGTTATTTGGTCATAAAAAAAGCTGAGGGTACATATTTAGCCCAAAGGAGGGAAGTTATAATACATACCGTCATTTGTGCCTCAGACTCAAGTTTTAAAAAAAACATATGTAGAAAAGCTAAAAGTACAGTCAACATCTCTCAGATTGTGGCTCTATAACTTTGTGTGAAAGAACACTCACTCAGCTTGATTGAAGGCAACTGGTTTAAAAGCAAGATTAGTAGATTGAGCTTAAAAATAAAGATAAAGATGGGAGATAAAGTACTGTGTTTTTACAAAAGTCTGCTCATAGGGTGTTGTAAAAAAGGAAACCACAGATCTGAATGCCCGAGTTTTCTCAGTTAATTGCTGTAAGAACATCTCTGCCACAAATGAATAGCCCATAGCTGACCGAAGAGCTGCAGACAACCATAAACCTCTGGCACTTCTTGCCCTTTTTTTCCCTCTGCAATTCTAGCAGCAAAGCAAAGACTCAGAAAGTTTCTTTTTAAAAGAAATGTTTTGACTTCTGAATTGTTGTCCAGATAGCAGATAGTCAGGTCAGCATCTGCTTTTTGTAACCTGCAGCATAAGGTCAGGATCAGCCATCTGACAGGAGGTTCTGTCTCACTTTCAGATTCCTGAAGGAGATAATAACATTTGCAATTATGCTCCTCTACCATTGGGATCTTATTTGAGGGATTGTCTTCTCTTCGTTCTGATTAAAATCTCAGTTTAGGAAACAAATAGTGAATAAAATGTATATCCTGTTAACTGGCCACACAAAAATAACCAAAAACCATTTTGAAACACCTGAAAAAGCATTACTGACTTAAATCCACTGCTGTTGTTTATCCCTTGGGAGGGTCAAGCCTGCCATACATGGAGGCACCACATACATCCTTAGAATGGTAGATGACAGTCAACGGGATGTTGTTTGTTTTAAATATAAGATGTAGCCATAATGAAAAATGGACATAATAAGTATTAGGTAGTGTTTTCTTCCTCTGTGAAGTCACCCGGAATGTGCATAGTTGAAACTGCTGCAGTGGCTCCTGTTGATGTTGACGCTGTTTATCTACACACTCTGACAGGTTGTCCTATTGAGTGGTCATCTTGACAGCTGGGATGTGGGCCAAGGCGCCATGGATGATGGAGGTGGAGCCATGATATCCTGGGAGGCTCTGTCACTTATCAAGGACCTAGGTAACCCTTGGGGAAATATAGAGATGGAAACAGATAAAAGTAGTCATGCTCATGAGTTTTGTTGCAACCAATCCTCCCTCTGATTAATTATGTCTGAGACTGGGAATACACACAAGCCCCTAAAGTACACTGAAGACCACTGTGAGCAACACCAGATGTGCACGCCGAAGCCAACTTTATGTATTAAACATATATATATGTACATATATACCCATCCATTTTCTGCTGGTGCCTATCTCCAGCTGTCTACAGGCAAGAGGCGGGGTACACCCTGGACAAGTCGCCAGTCATCGCAGGGCAACACAGAGACAAAAAGGACAACCATTCACGCATACACTCACACCTAAGGAGAATTTAGAGAAGCCGTTTAACCTAACAATCATGTTTTTGGACTGTGGGTGGAAGCCAGAGTAACATGCAAACTCCATGCAGAAAGACCCTGGGCCAGGAATTGAACCCACAACCTTCTTGAGGCTGCAGCAGTGCTACCCCCTTTTCGACTGAGCATACATACATATATGTACATATATACATATACATATATGTATATATATACACTAGGGATGGAACAGTTTATGAAAACCGCCCGAAGACGCGCCAGCAGCACTTTATAGGTCTGCTGTATGGGACCACTTTGCATTTAGAGTGACCTACGATGACGGCGGAAAGAAAGTTGTGGATAAAAGTGCAACAGTGTGCAAGCATTGTGCAACACGTTTTGTTTATGCTAACAGCAACATGACCAACATGTCATGCTAACCCCGAAATCCCACATACTCCATCAGCGCTCCGCCCCGCTGCGCTCCAGACCGCCTGCGCATAACAAAGCCTACAGCCTCCACTGTGGCTCCCGTCCGCTCCGCTCTGAGTTCCTTGGAGATTGTACAGGGCATGCGCGAGATTATTAAATTCAAAGCAGCAAAACATGTGGAAATGATCCAGGGTTTCTGCGGATCATTAAAAATAATTACAATTCATACATTTTTTTGGATTTTTTCCTTAATTTCATAAAAAAAATACATCATTAATTTAACAATAAACATATACCGAACCGAACCGAAAACCGTGATCACGAAACCGTTAACTGAACCGAACCGTAGATTTTGTGAACCGTTCCACCCCTAATATACACACACACATACACTCATCGGCCACTTTATTAGGTACACCTGTCCAACTGCTCGTTAACACTTAATTTCTAAGCAGCCAATCACATGGCGGCAACTCAGTACATTTAGGCATGTAGACATGGTCAAGACAATCTCCTGCAGTTCAAACCGAGCATCAGTATGGGGAAGAAAGGTGATTTGAGTGACTTTGAACGTGGCATGATTGTTGGTCCCAGAAGGGCTGGTCTGAGTATTTCAGAAACTGCTGATCTACTGGGATTTTCATGCACAACCATCTCTAGGGTTGACAGAGAATGGTCCGAAAAAGAAAAAACATCCAGTGAGCGGCAGTTCTGTGGGCGGGAATGCCTTGTTGATGCCAGAGGTCAGAGGAGAATGGTCAGACTGGTTTGAGCTGATAGAAGGGCAACAGTGACTCAAATAACCACCCGTTACAACCAAGGTGGGCAGAAGAGCATCTCTGAACGCACAGTACGTCGTACTTTGAGACAGATGGGCTACAGCAGCAGAAGACCACACCGGGTGCCACTCCTTTCAGCTAAGAACAGGAAACTGAGGCTACAATTTGCACAAGCTCATCGAAATTGGACAATAGAAGATTGGAAAAGCGTTGCCTGGTCTGATGACTCTCGATTTCTGCTGCGACATTCGGATGGTAGGGTCAGAATTTGGCGTCTACAACATGAAAGCATGGATCCATCCTGCCTTGTATAAACGGTTCAGGCTGGTGGTGGTGGTGTCATGGTGTGGGGAATATTTTCTTGGCACTCTTTGGGCCCCTTGGTACCAATTGAGCATCGTTGCAACGCCACAGCCTACCTGAGTATTGTTGCTGACCATGTCCATCCCTTTATGACCACAATGTACCCAACTTCTGATGGCTACTTTCAGCAGGATAATGTGCCATGTCATAAAGCTGGAATCATCTCAGACTGGTTTCTTGAACATGACAATGAGTTCACTGTACTCAAATGGCCTCCACAGTCACCAGATCTCAATCCAATAGAGCATCTTTGGGATGTGGTGGAACGGGAGATTCGCATCATGGATGTGCAGCCGACAAATCTCCGGCAACTGTGTGATGCCATCATGTCAATATGGACCAAACTCCCTGAGGAATGCTTCCAGCACCTTGTTGAATCTATGCCACGAAGAATTGAGGCAGTTCTGAAGGCAAAAGGGGGTCCAACCCGTTACTAGCGTGGGGTACCTAATAAAGTGGCCGTTGAGTGTTTGTGTGTATATATATATATATATATATATATATATATATATATATATATATATATATATATATATAGAGAGAGAGAGAGAGAGAGAGAGAGATAGATAGATAGATAGATAGATAGATAGATAGATAGATAGATAGATAGAGATATGTATATAGTTTTGCTTGAAAGTTTACATACCCTCCCATTGAAGAAAATGATGAATTCAAACTATTAATAAAAAAAACCCACAAAACTAAAAAAGATATAATAAATAAGAATGTACTGAATGATAATTTATTCAAATAAAATACTGATTTAAAGAAATAATTCTAAAAAACCAACTGTCCCAGACAAATTAACGTACCTTGCTGATCAAAAGGGAACCAACTTATCTGTCAACAGGTGTAGTCTGAACATTTCCTGAACATTACAGAAAATACCTGATTTCACTGAGTGTCTTAAAGTGGGGCCAGTGTCTATCTCCAGCAGTCTATGTCAAGAAGCGGGGTACACCCTGGACAAGTCGCCAGTCCGAGTGCAAAAAAGAGACACACAAAGACGTACAACCATACACACGCAATCACACAGGACAATTAAGAGATGCTAATAAACCTAACAGTGCTGTTTTGGGACTGTGGGAGGAAGCCAGAGAACCTGGAGAGAATCCATGCATGAATGGGAAGAACATGCAAACCCCATGCAGAAAGACCCCAGGCCGGGACTAAAACCTGGAACCTTCTTGCAACACTTTTCTGTCTTTAATGGAAGGGCATGTAAACTTCATCTGTATATATATATATATATATATATATATATATATATATATATATATATATATATATATATATATATATATATATATATATATATATATATATATATATATGTATATATTTACTGTAACTCTTTTGTCTCTAACTTTAACTATTTAATTACACCCTACTTTTGCGCGTCTACTACTACAGATTATATAATAGTTAAAGCATGTCAGGATTATCATCCATAAGTAAAAAAAAAAAAAATGAAACGTCACTAGAATATGAATACATCTGATTTAAACTGAATCTATTTTTCACATCTGTCCTTTTTACTTCTCGAGTAGTTTTCCAAATATGCCACTTTAAGAGCTTTCTGGACGCTGTTTAGATATGATTAATCAAACTAAAACTTCTTTCACAATCAACACTGGATGCTTGAAATGTAGCCCAACTCTCCACAAGCTGTGAGATCTCCTTTGATTCCTCACCTCTAAGAGTTACAGCCACCATATCTGAAAATGTGCTGATTGACCCATGTTTGCATTTTTTCCTCATCATGTACTTGAATTTAGCAAAAAATAGAGAAAAAAAAAGAAAAGTCACACGGAGCATGTTGCTGCTCTGTGGACAGTTGCTACTTAAACTGAGGCATAATACTAAACTGTTCGTTTTAAGTTTTAAAATGAATGAAATAGATTCTAAATGATACAGAAAATGTGTTATTATTATAATTGTTTATGTTGGATTTTATTTTAATAGATTTTCTTGTGCATTTAGCAGTGCGCAAGTGTACAGCTTAGAGGGAACACTGATTGCAACCAAAAGTCTCAATGTACTTTCTTGGGATTTTATGATAATAATAATACATTTTATTTCAAGCGCCTTTCAAAACACTCAATGACACTGTACATGTAAAAACAATAAGAGATAAAAAAACCCAACATGTCATAGTTAAAAAAAACAACACAAACTAACCACAGGAAAGTATCAAAAATTCCTAGTGAAAAAGCAATCTTGAAAAGTTGGGTTTTGATTTGAACAAAGATAAAGACTCGGTATTGCAGATGTCAGGGGGGAGTGAGTTCCAGAGTGTGGGTGCTCTGCTCCCCATGGTGCTAAGACGGGAGAAAGGAACAATGAAGTGAGTAGAAAAGGATCTAAGAATGTGAGAGGGATTTTAAATAGCAGGATTTTGAATTGAATTCTGAACTTGACAGGGAGCCAGTGGAGCTGCTGTAGGACTGGGGTGATGTGATGGGAAGAGGGGGTTCTAGGAATGATGGAAGCGGACAAATTTTGGACTGCCTAAAGTTTGTTTAAGGATTTTTGAGGTAGACCAAAAAGAAGAGAGTTACAGTAATCAATGCAGGAAGTTAAAAGACTATGGAACCAGGGGAGATGAAGGGGGGAAGGCGACTGATATTGCGTAAGTGAAAGTAAGCAGTGCAAGTTAGGTTGTTACTGTTAGTGAAGAAGGGCAGCGTACTATCAAGGATGACACCCAGACTCTTGACCTAAGATAAGGGGGAGATTATGTAGTTATCAAGTGAAAGGGAGAAACTGTCAGCTTTGGATAATGTCAATTTGGTTCCCATAATTCAAGAAAGTTGGAGGTGAACCAGGATTTTATTTTGGCTAAACAGAAGGTTATTGAAGGAGGTGGGAGTGAAAGGTTTGGCTTACAGGAAAGATAGAGCTGGGTGTCATCTGCATAGCAGTGGAAATTAATGCTGAATTTCCTGAAGATAATGCCAAGAGGGAGAATGAGTAGGGTTCCCAGGTCAGAGCCTTGGGGAACACTGTTTGTAACTGGAGAAGAGGAGGAATGATAGGACTTGATCTGAAAAAAACTGAGTGCGGCCAGAAAGATGGGAATAAAACATGGGTAAAGGAGTGAGTAATGCCAGTTGTGGATAGTTGATGGAGAAGGGTAGACTGGGAAACTGTGTTAAAGGCTGTGCTTAGATCAAGGAGAGTGGGAATGGAAATTAGACCAGAGTCAGCTGCTATTAGAAGATCATTGGTTAATTTTAAGAGGGAGGTTTCTTAAGACAGGGATGAAAACCAGACTGCAACTGTTCATAAAGGTTGTTGAAAGTTAAGTAAAAGTGAAGTTGAGAAGCAACATTTTTTCCCCCTGTATTTCTGAGATAAAAGATAGTTTTGAAATTGGGTGGAGATTATTGTAATTGTTGGGATCTGAACTAGGTGTCTTCAGAATAGGAATCATTGAAGAGTTATATGAAAGAGAAAGGAGTTCATACACATGACATAGAGAGGAATTAGTTGATAATTGAGCAAAAAGTTTGGTATACTGTGTGTGAACACATTTGGATAAGTCTTACTCAGTTCATACCTTATAAATGCACCTTCTGGTGCAAATCCTACCGGCAGTACCTCTGTACGACCTTGGTATAGCTGAGACAGAACTTAGCAATAGATTTTCAAGTCTTGCTGCAGATTCCCTGTTGAAATAGTGTCCGGACATTGCCTGGGCAATATCTACACATTTATAGGCTTTGATTGTTGGCTTTCTGAAAGATGAATCCTTCTCAAGTCTTTTGCAGCCTCTAAAGATGCATTCACACCAAATTTGGTGAGTGGAGCAAGTGATTTCCACGCTCAAATGTTGTGTTAGTTGTTGATGCAAAGGACACTTTTTGGGCGATTCGATTGGCAACGGTCGGACATTCAGAGAGAAGAAGCAAGGCGCAGTATATATGTGGATAGGGTGCAGCAGCACTATCAGAAGGCTTGCTGAATGAACTGTGAAATTTCACAGTAATTGAAAAATCCCATGCAATTGACCAATCAGAGACTGGACAAGGTTGTGATTTAGGAGCACGTAGCGCAAAGGAAACAAATGTTTCACTCTCAGACGAGGTGAGTTGAACAGAAAACTGGACCTGGTGTTACACCATATTCTGTGCAACATTGTATGTTTTGACCCATGTGGCACAGAATATGGTGCAACACCAACAAGAAGATGAACAATCCACCTATTTTATGAAACAAGCCAGGCAGGATTACGCCTTGGTGTCTTCAACAACCAGCTGAAATGTCATATAACTGACCCACGGTGATCAACATAGAAATCTCGCCGTATTCTTCGTGTTAAGCTTTGTTTATCATCACACCAACTCTGAACAAATTCTCCTTTCCTGCTGCAGAAAACTATTCCCATAGCATGATGCTGCCAAGACCATGGTTCTTTGTGTGGAAGTTGTGTTCAGGGTGATGTTAGTTTGGTGTGGCTCAAAGAATTTATACTGACATTTTATTACCAAAAGAAGAACTCTATTCAATAATAAAGTAATACCTTGAGGCAGATGGGAGCAATAGATTTTATTTTGTAGTTTTTCTTTTTATTTGTAAGAAAAATATTTTTTCTTCCACTTTACTATGCCCAACTTTGATTAAGTCTCAAATCAAAGTATTAAATCTAAGCTTGAGGTTGTACTTCACTAATGGCAATTTTTTCCAGAAGTATTGAAACTTATTTCCTTATTATTCATCTTTCAATTAATGTGTCTTTGCCAGCATATCAAGCTCAGAGGACAATTTCAGCTCAGACATGTCAATATCACTCTTTATTTCTGCCTTTGCAAGCTTGCAGTTTAAGAGGAATGACCTTTACACACAGTGCTGGGGCTGGTTTGGGCTAGTTTGTACTATCTGCCGTCTGTATAGGGGATTCACCTAAGGAGCTGGGTTTCAGTTGCTTTTAGAGGAAAAGTACATGACAGCCATTATAAAATCTCGACAATTACAGGGGATTTTTGGAACATCTATCTAACAAAATGGTGTTGAAATATGACAGATATTTACTGGGAAAAATGCGGGTGAAATAGGAGTCTATTGTTTTTCATGGGTTTCTTTCACCTCTAGCATCTCCATTGTTTGACTTCGACTGACCTCATTTATAAGCGTAAAAGAAAGGCTGCTATCAGCAAAACCTTTAGAATGACTTCCCATGTTTTATTCAAGTATTACAAAATAATGTGAGCCATAAGGAAGAAACAGCAGTCTCATAGCTTGAGGATCAACTTATTGCACTTCCCGTTTGTCCATTAATACCAGAGAAAGTGATGCTCTATCAGATTGCATAAGATAAGTAAGACTGTATCATCTTCCTCTCATGCATCCTCACCACACTAAAGAGAGCTTTACTGTTAATCCAGGCTTCTGCTGCAGAGTCCCAGCAAAATGAGGTGAAGAGGAAGGGAGGAATTTCCTCTTGATTCCTCAGAAATTTCTATTCATCTGCTGAGCTTTCAGTGCCCTCTGATGGGGTGTTAACGCCTGAGAAGAGACGTTTCAAGTTTATTATATTTCATATTTTAGCAAAACTTCAAAGTTCCTTCAGCATTTTTTTTTTCCAGTTTGATTGTTTGGGTGGAGATGAAAACAAACATAGACTCCTCTTACAGCAGTTAAGACAAAGATTTCATCACTAGGCAATCAATGAAGATGGATCTGAAGTCTTTGCAGGAATGTAAAGGAGTAACTTGCTGCTACAGCGTCATTCAGGACCATCGAATCAGCTCAGATCATCAAGCTAACCTGCATTTCCACATTACAGATGGATTTGATTAGACTGAAGAAACCTGTTGATCATTGATTCGTGAGGTGTGGCAGCAAGAAAACACTTAGAGCAGGAAGGACAGTGGGGCTTAATGAGGACCAGGGTTGGGGAGCTCTGTACTAATAACCTCTGGCAAACTAAAAACTGGACCTACTTATGGATGGCATTCAGCTGCACCTCTAATATTTGCATCTTTAGACCTGAGCTGTGGATCTCCGCAGCTTCTCCAGAGTCACCATTGGCCACTTGTCTGGTTATTTACCGTCCTTGCCCGGCCTGCAGGTTATGGTATACTTCCATATTTTGATATGATTTAAACCTTGCAGCATTATTTTCCAACTCTCTCTTTGAACTTCTTCAGAACAGTATGGTCACTGGTCTGATATGTTCCGCAGTCTTTGTGATGCTGTTCTCCAACAAACTTGTGAGGCCTTCACAGAACAATCAGTTATAGACATGAGCTATCAGTGCATGAATATGTGTACATACAATATAAAGATGGTCCAGAGACCCATGCCCAGTCCAGTACACCCAGTAGACGCAATTTAATCAAACTGGACTAAGACAGAAAGCAGGAGCACCAGTTATAAATAAAACTCCATGCAGCAGCAGTTAACCCAAACTCAGATTCAAACCAGCCTATAAAACTCCAGGTCTAAGCATTACACTGCTATAAATCTCAATTTTCTAATATTCAACATATGCTCTATTTAATATACATTTTGATATTCTGCTCATTGTAAATACATTTGATATATATAATATAAAAACAATTTTTCCAAAATGTAGAAAATAAATGTGATGAATGCGTTCCAAGTGACTAAATGGTATGTTCTTCTGTTTAAAGGTTTGCGTCCAAGAAGAACTTTGAGGGCAGTTCTGTGGACAGCTGAGGAGCAGGGTGGCGTCGGAGCCCAACAGTACTTTAATCTACACAAGGTACTGCAACTTCAAAAAAGAAGAAAAAACTCCAGAAGAGCCTTAAAGAAAATACAATTTGTGCTGAAAGAGAGCAGCAAGGGTCAGCGCATTGTGAAAGCTCTGTGTATGAGTGTGGAAATGTGCTTCCAGCAGACTGGAGAGCACTTGGCCACCTCCCAGGTTTTTGTCTGCAGCAATCCCCACGTTCATTTTTCCTCCTTTAGAGCTTTGGCTGCCCATCAGGCTCTAAAACCTGATAAGCTAAACACTTAAGAACAGATAAAGATTTCATGCATTTTTAAAAACAAACCAGTAATTTGTTTGCAGTTTATCTTACTCCTTAGGGCATTTCATGGTCTTTCCTAACTTGCATTAGTTTTATTTCCATGTATAACAGTTGCTTTAGTGACTCCTAGTGGCCACATACACATATATATATACATTAATCTGATTAATCGAGATTAATCGATTATGAAATAATCATCAACTCATTTAGTAATCGATTAATCATTAGCTGGAGTATAGAGACTGTAAAAGATGCCTTTAGCTGAGAGAGCGACCCACTTAGAGCAGTAATTATACCAAGATTGTAAAAAAAAAAGTTTTCATCGTTCCTCAATTGGCAAAGTTTGAGTTTCAGCTGGATTAATGTCATAAAAAGTCTTCTTTAAAGAATATATGGCTATTCATTTAATAATTTATTAATTGAAAAAATAATAAGCGACAGAATAACTGATTTCCAAAACAACAAAATAATGGTTAATTGCAGCCCTTATATATATATTTCTTCTTGCAGTCCATATATATATATATATATATATATATATATATATATATATATATATATATATATATATATATATATATATATATATATATATATATATATATACATGCTTTCATGTGTTCACAAACCATCAAACAAACTTTAGAGGCTGTCCTGTGTTCCTTCGTTTAATGTTTTTCAGCTTTTTTTTTCATTTTGTTTTGTCCTCCCCCTCCTGTCTCACTTCCTCTCCTCACACAGGAGAACATCTCAAACTTTGACCTTGTTATGGAGTCTGACTTGGGGACGTTCACCCCAATGGCTCTGCAGTTTACTGGCAGTGACGCGGCACAGAAGGTAAGAATGAGTGTAAAACTACAAAAAGTAAACAGCCCAAAATAAATAAAGGGCATTGGGAAAAAACCTCCATAGTGAATTTAATTTGATGATTATGTATCTCAAGTTTTGATGTTGGTATTGGGAAATGTTTATTTATTTTCAGCCTTGGATCCCAGGGTGATATTTACACTTCAGTATTACGGGACATTTTTACAACATTTCTAAATATTTGTTTTATTGTAAATGTGTTTAGTTGTTACAATAATGTTATTTTTACATTTATTGGGTCGTCTGTCACTCCTTTCATGCAGCCTTTCCTCTGCTCCTCCATTTTTTTTCAAGTTAATCCATCCCTCCATCCATTACTGGTTCTTTCCAGCCTTCGATTTAATGATCCGTCTTTAAGTTCATAAACCTTAAACTTAACCAGCTGATTGAAAAGTCAATGCATAAGAATCCTGTGTGATGCTTTATTGTTTTGCAGTGTTAAATATTTTCTTCAGTGGTTATATGATTTTTATTTTGGATCTCATTTCCATTTATAAAAGTGCTATAATAAACCACATTTAACAATTTTGATAGTATGTAAAAACACCAAGTAAGGAAACCGTGTCTGTATCAACAGGTGATGGAGGAAGTGGTCAAACTTTTGGCTCCCATCAATACAACCAAACTGGAGAGAGGTGGTGAGGGGACAGATATCTCTCCATGGATGCAAGCTGGAGTCCCAGGTCAGTTTATTCAATAGTATGTCTGTTTACAGCTAGCAGCATATTTTGATATCAGGTGGATAAAGAAAACATTTAAACATGTAAGCTGAAACCTTACATTGTACATTTTTGGAGAAAACAAAACAAAAAAACACCTGTTGTTTTGTTTTCCAACACTTCTTTTTCTGTTTATCGTTGAACTTTGAACAGTTTGGTTTAATTAGGGAAGTGGAGACAGAAAGCCCATTTTAATAGAACCAAGAAATGAAACTTTAAGATTCTCTAGCAAATAATATAAAGCTCTCAGGGAGCCTCAAAACAAACATTATATCCTAATATTGATGCCTGGTGATAAAAAAATATGCCATCTCTGCCTGATAATTTCTATTCAAATCAAGCTGTATTTTCAACTTCAGTTAAAAAAAGAGACTCATAACAGCAGATTCCTCATACCGGATTGTTTAAAAGCTGCAGTGCAAAGCTGAGAGTTCAGGGTCACATTCAAAGGATGTTTTCCACCATTACTTTCCTCAACAAAGCTCCAATCAGTTTTTTTTTTTTACTTACACAAAAAAACATGTAATGTGTGCCAAAAAGGACAAAACCAATCAGCCAAATTGTATAAATGCAGTAAGATATCATTTTCAAAGGATTATAAATGAAGATATGTGGATCTTTATCCCCTTTGAACTGTAAAAAAAATGTTTTAGGTTTGATAGATGTTCCGTTTTGTTTCTTTTCAAGGAGAAATAAACTTTAGAAAATTGGAACAATTCCCACTGAATTAACTGCTATAGATAAGCAGCCGTCTGTGAGGCGTCTCTTCTGGTCCGCTCCTGTGTTATTGTTGGGTGAAGGAACAGTTCTGGAAAGTCCAACAGGAAGGTGGGGAACAAACACCACCTTGTGTTCAGATCAGTTTTGTTTGGTCAGCTTCCATCCGTCTTATACACCATATTTATGGAGCATTTTATTCCCATTTGTCAGTTATGTTCCATAAAGGAGGGAAACATTTTTTTTAATGTATAATGCTAAGAAAATACAATTAGACCCCAAATTATTCATCTTTTGTATTACTTTCATCAATGAATTAATCTTTTAATTTGTAATCTATATGATTTATATCAGGGCCCAAACAAAGTCCCAATTTGCCATCTAACAGCCACACATCTTGACACTGCCACTCTAATGCTTTACAGCTGGGGATGGGGTTCTTCTTCTTGTAATATAAAAATACTGGCCTTATGGATATTTCTTATTTAGTGCTTTAATTGGGGAAAAAAAGCAAGGGGAGGTACTCCACTTTATGCTACACAAACATACAACAGAAACGTTGGTAGTATTTTGAGATAGATCTATCTACTATGTACAGAAGTGAAAAAGATCAAAGCCAGTTCTAAATTTAATCCAAATTCAGAGTGTCATGCAGTCACAAAAAAACATTAAGATTTTAATAAGCTCATTACGGTTTCCTCTCTGTATTAGGCCTGTCCTCAACAAACTAGCACTGGCCCTCCAGCCACAAGTGTCCCGCACTGTGGCTAGGGCTACAGTTACTAGCTCTATTTATCATAATGATAGATTTTTTTTTATATAATACTATGTAAGATGTATGCAATGCAAAAATATTTGCGTAAGAAAAAGATGGACCTCCCTCCAGTCTCTGCCATTATGCACCATTGTGTTAGGTTTCTGTTTCTGTTATGTTTTTCTTTTGAGCATTCAGTCTTACTTTACTCCTTAATTTCTAGTGTTTAGTTTTCTTTTCACCATGTTTTATATTCCTAGTTATTTGATTATTATTTTGTTGTTATTTCCAGTCTTCCAGGTTTCTATTTGTTGCTCTCTGCTGCCCTCTTATGTTCTCCTTCCTCCCTAGCTCTTTCCCTCTCTTGTTCTTTGCACACCTGCTCCCAGTTTCCTCGTTAGCCCCCTCTTTGTCTCAGTCTCCTTTAAAAAGCCCTCTCTGTTCAGTTCCCCTTTGCTGGGTCCTCGTCAAACACTGTCTACATGCTCCAACTCCTTCTCTCTGTGCCTTCCTCGTTATGTTTGTGATTCCCCTGATGTCCCCACGGTTTCTGGTACGTTAGACTTGTTTTCATGTTTTTGATTTTTGGACTTCTGGTTTCATGTTTGTTTGACCTTTGTTTTCCTTTTGGATTTTTGGATAACCAGCCTCTGATTTTTTTTAAGTCATTATTAAATCCACAACAGATTCACCTCCGCCTCTCTGCCTCTGCTTTTGGGTCAACAAACCATAGTCAAATCGTGACACATTGCAATATGCAATATTTGTTTTTAAAACCTTATGTGTGTTAAGGACCTTCTGACTAACTCCTGACTAAATCAGGAAATAAAACAGCATGATTGGCTGTAAGGAGAGAGAGAGGACACTGATCTGAGTTTACTGAACAAAACCCTCTCCCGACCAGGTTAGCACTGAGGAGAATGTTACTATGGCAACAGAAACAGATGTTGAGTAAACCCTCTTTGTAAAACAGAAAAATTAGAGTTTCTCTTGTTTCAGGTTTGGAAAACTTTGAGTTTTCTGAAAACATGCTTATTGAAATGGACTACTGTTCAAATCTGAGACACAGAACCTGTCTCCTTCCTGACCCGGACAGAATGATGGCTGTGAACATTGTTATTTCCAATGATAAAGATGCTGTCTGTGTGCAGTGGTTAGTGCACAGAGTTACAATGCTTAGTATCCGAAGAAAGAAGGGAATATTTTACAACATAAATGAGAATATAAACAGACTGACTCTAATGTCAACATTATCGATCAAACCAGACTGTTGGACACTAAAGAAAGGAACTCCTGGATTTTTTTTAGGCATTCTTTCGTTCTTGTTAGAGATTACATTTTCAAATTTGATTGTGGGTGTTAGCGAAAACATAACATAAAAAATTAAATAAGCAAACCTCAGATGGTACTAAAAAAAGAAAACATTTCTAATATTCAGGAGATATTTGGTACCAAAGAGACATTATAATTGGCTTTATAAGCCAAAATGGGAAAGAACAGGAACTGAGAGAGGAATAATGGTTTCACAAATCCCAATTTCCTAACTTGGTCTAAGGCCATGGAGCAAGAAACCTTTTTTGGCAGAGGTCTGAAACCAAACTTAAGTTTCTCATCTATTTTAAAGCTTTGTGTCGACATATAGTGTGATTTCTTTCCCTGGGGCAGCAGTTCATCAGGAGTTGTCCCAGACAAAAAAAAGTCTGTGAGATTAGTAATCAGATCAAGGGGACAGTGATGGGTGTTCTCATTTCGAGGAGCAGATGAGCAGGCATGAAGTGTTGCTAGAAAAGGTTTTACAAATTTTTTTGTTTTTTTTTAGAACTTAAGAAAAACTCATTGCCAAAGGATGTGCTACTCTCCATTCTGATCCAAAATGTCCTCACCATACAGACATAAAAACAGCTACAGCTCCTCAAACTTCCATAGTTTAATGGTAGTTTTTGTCCTGAGATATTAAATCCATTTTCCTAAAAAAATGGAAGCAGTGCAGCAAAGATGGCAACATTATGCTTCATGGCTGTTTTCCTTCAGCACTAACAGGAAGATGGTCAGAGTTAAAATGAAGATGGATTTAGCCAAGCAAAGTTCAACCCTAGAAGAGAACCGATTAGAGGCTGTGAAAGACTTGGTTCTTTTTCTGGCGGAGCGATCCATAAGCATACATCTAAAGCTAAAATGAAGTGGTTTAGATGAAGGCATATAGGTGAGTTAAACTCTCCCAGTCAATGGTGCAGACCTAAATCCAAATAGAAATTTGTGGTAATACTTGAAAATCAAAGTTCAGAGGCTCCGCAGCTGGTTTCTAAATGGGTAAAACTGCAGAAGTGCAAAACTAAATACCTCAAAAGACTTCTTTCACAGCAGAAACTGAAGATTTGCTTTAGAAGGGCTGAATACCTGTTTTACAAACTGAGAAGTGTTCAATATAACAGACTTAATTTGATCAGTAACCACTGCGTGTCAATATTGTTCTCCATGTTCCACCCAGGTGCCAGCCTCCATGTGGCCGACAGTCGCTACTTTTGGTTCCATCACAGCGAGGGAGACACCATGACAGTCCAGAACCCTCGCGACATGGACCTCTGCTCAGCATTGTGGGCTGTGGTTTCCTATGTCATAGCTGACCTGCAGGACATGCTGCCGAGATAGCGCTAAGGTTCATCAAGTGCTTATCACGATCTCAACTAGTTTTACTGATTTCAGTTTCTGCTGTAAACATCAAGAACTGACTGTTTAGGTGAACGAGGGAACATAAAGCCTGATGCACATTATGGAGACATTAAAAAAACTACTTGAAGCTGTTTAAATGTTCAAACTATACAAATAAATCCTCGCCCCATTGTTATTGCTCTTTCATTTAGATACACTTTTCCACAGTATCTTTTCCAACTCTAATCCTTTTTTTGTTTTTTTATGGAGAAATGCCTTCTTCCTAAAGGAGTGGCCTTTCAGCCCATGTTGGTATTGTCATAGTTCTGGTTCTGTTATGTTTTCTTTTGAGTTTTCAGTTTTACTTTGCTCCATGTTTTCTTGTTTTAGTGGTTTAATTCTTATTTTGTTGTGTTTTCTGGTTGTTTTCAGGTTATTTGTTGCCCTCTGCTGCCCTCTTGTGCTCTCCTCTTTCTCTAGTTCTTTTCAATTCTGCTCTGTTCACACCTGCTCCCAATCTGCTCGTTAGTCCTCTTTTTGTTTCAGTCTCCCATAAATACACCCTCTGTTCAGTTCCTCAGTGCTGGTTTCTTGTCTAACTTCCTCCAACTCCGTCTCTCTGAGTCTTTCTCCTCAAGATGGTTTCCCCCAGATGTCTCCATAGTTTCTGGTTTGTTTGACAGTTGCTCTGTTCGAAATCCTGGGACGCGACATTAGAAGGCCAGATTCGAAGGACGATTACGTCATAGCGCGGCACGGAGGTCTGGTCGGATTCCAAGAGTCCTCGTTATGCAGCCTTAAAATGCGTCCTTCTTTTTGCCTGATTTGAAGGACAGGTCCGATGTATCCTCGGTATCCTTGGTTTACCCAGCATTCATTGCGAGACCAAGCAAGCCATGATTTGCTCCGTGATCAGAGCAAAGGTTGCTTGGCGCTGAACAGTGGTGAAAATTGGAAGGTCAGTTTAATAAGATACAACTCTGTGAATAGTTCCATCTGATGTGAATGAAAATAGTTGTTTTAATGGTTATTGAGGCAGATATGTGGCGGTAATGTTTGGTTTATCTAAAGGTTTTTATCTGTTACTGTGTAAATTGGTTTGGCTGTAATTTAAGGACAGATTATAATATATCTGCAGTGTGGGGACTATAAATCTGATAAATTTTTTTATTGCTGTTTTGCACAATATGCTTAACTAAGTATTTTTTTTTGTTGAATATTAGAGATTTTGCAGATATATATTTTTTATACATGCATTATTTAGATTTACTTATATATTTCTACCCCTTTTATAGAATAGAAAATCCCCTTATTGGCCCACAATGGGAAATTTACAGCAGCAGAAAGATTATTAAAAATGGTCACACAAATGTGGACCTTAGAAAAATGTCTAACAATAGGGAAGAGTTAAAATATAAACAATGCAATTCAGTAAAGTGTTTTAACAATATAAAGCTGGAGAATAAATAACCAATATGCAGCTATGGACATTTTTACAGTAATGGATATTTGAAAATGGCAGCGACATCAGATGTGCAAAATGACAGCAGCATGTTATTAAACTGAAGGTTTCTATCATTACATTTGATTTTATTTGTTCATGCTCCTGGTGATTGGCACCTTTATTCCACTCTGGATTCTTGTGAGTGTAGTCTTTGTTCACTTTATAATAAAAAATAAATAAATAAGCAAACAGTTTTAAAAACTTCGGTTGTCTTTTTTTTAATTCCTGCTTTGTGTGTCAGCTTTCACGGTTGCTAAGCAGCAGAGCATACGGCGGTAAAACCCGTCGAAGGGTAGACCTGTTCGAATTCACAGCCAAAACTCTTCCGGTCTCCTTATTTTCACGGACTCCGAAGGATCCTACAGTGGCCGGGAAGTGCAAACCAACAATACAAAATCTGAAACACTTTTACAAATCTTGAAACAAATTTACCTTTCAGAAAACAAATTTACAACAAACGAAACACTTTTACAAATCTCGACCGCGTCCTTGGAGGATGCAGCCCAGGATTTCAAACAGAGCCTTTGTTTTCATTGTTTGGATTCCTGCCTAGTTCCTGGTTTGTTTGGACTTTTTTCATGTTTGATTTTTTTATTTTTTTATTCCTGCTTCAGCTGTTTATCTGTTAACATTTCATTAAACCAACAACAAACTCAGCTCTGCCTCCCGGCTCTGCATTTGGGTCCTCAAACCACAACCAAATCCTGACAGGTACAGCTTTTGCTTCCCTGTGGATAACAAAGCTCCATTGCAGTTTGAGCCTCCATTTTAGTGTATTTCTGGAGTTTATTCCCACTTGGCTGTATTTTCATCTCTGAGACAGGGAACCTGTGTCAGCTTCTTGATAAAGATGAATGTGGTGAATTCAGTTATCTACAAGTTTTCTCTAAGACTTGTGAAGGTCAGCAGTTCTCTTCCTTATATCCTGGCTGATTTTATTTGAACAAGTTTTTTATGTTTTGTTTTTTTTTTACACTCAAATGTTTCTGTAAATTAAGCTATCAGAAACAGAATCATGTAGGGCTGGGTGATATGGACCTAATTTTTGTTTTTTTTGGTACTAGCACAATAAAGATAAAAGTAATTTTAACTCCACAGTCATGAATTTTACTCTTAAAAACTACAAATTTGAAATATGCTTCTTTATGACACCTGTTACATAAAGAAATGTGATATCACTAAATATCCCATTGTAACAACATAAAATCATATTTTCCAATGGAGCAAATGAAAGAAATGGAAGAAAAATAGTAGAAATAATGTTTTTGTTTGTTTTTCATGATAAATAATCATAATTTATCATTTAGACAATAACTCAAAATGCTTATTTTGACTATAGATTCATAACTATAAACAATGGATACCAGCCTTCTGATATGTTTTTTTTTTTTTTTTTTTTTAAACAGAATATGTATCTAGTTTTATTAGTTTGTAAATGTCTGACTGCTCATTGATGAATGCCGAGTTGAAGGGTTTCTCTCACCTTGCACAAAAAAATAAGGGGCATCATCCCCTTCCACTACATTTTCATACAGCAGCACAACACAAATAATCTGGAATAGAAACAATTGGATATTTTACAAGCTAACAGAATCTGTACAGACCTATTTCAACACAAATCCATCAAACCATTTTGTTTGCTCTGAAGACAGAAACTGGGTCATGCTTTCTCATCTTTCTGAAGAGATTCTAAGAATTGGCTGTCTTCCATTCCTGTTTAAGTTTAAAATGTTCTATTTTGTGTGCCAAGAAAACAAGTGGATGTGAAGAGCAGACAGAAAAAAGATTAAGCAGCCACAGGCATTCCTCTTCCTCAACCAAGCACTAAAGGAAAACTGCTAGTGACTTAAAGTCTGTTCTCCAGTCTGCAGCACCTCAGCCTCTCGTGGTTCATGTTAGATTGTTTTCTTCTTGGTTTACTGTGGATCTGATGCCCTCTGAAGGGTCCTTATCCTCATCTGCTCGAACGAGTCGAAGTCCTTTCTATCGTCTTTTCTCAAGCATCAGGAGCAGGATGCCTTGAAGAAGAATTTTTGCGCAAATACCACAATCTCTGCTCTTCAATCCAACTTGTATAGCAGCAACACAAATAGTAAGAAATTTGAAGGAAGTCATCTAAATGAATACCAGCAAGGTTAATAATTTCTATTTATTTGTTTTGGAGCAATCAAACAAACAAAAAAACACCATAAGATCTTGGCAGATATTTTTGTGTAGGTTGCAAAACATGGAGGAAAGAAAAGAGGAAATAAATAATTTCTTTAAATTATTCTAGGTGTAGAAAATACTAAAATCAAATTCCATGTTTTTTCTAGCTGGTAAAAACCCTGTGCATTCATTTATGGACCATATAATAGTTTTTGTGAGACTCTACTGCAGTCCAAGAATGGTATAAATTTGGACCAACACCAGATAATTATTATAACTTTATTGTACTAAGAATTTTCTTTTCTGATTTAATCTCCCAATTTCTTAAATGGCTAAAATTTGGAATTACTGAGCGCACCACTGGCACCACTTTATTTAAGGTCATGCTGTTTGCTATGCATAGAATAAATATGGAGCCTTCCTGCACTGGTATGTTTCGCCATGGCCCATATGTACTTGACTTCTAAAGTAGTAATTCTGTAAAAATAGAACTAAGAATACAGTGTAGAGATGGATAGCCCCCTGTATCCAACTGACTTGTTCTCACCCATTCATTAAACTTCACTTAAGACAGTAAATTGTTCAAAGACTGGAAACAGAAAGGTAGGAACCATTTTGTGGTAAGGTTCTCTACAAATGGGGACTAGAAAGCTGATACACAACTATTGAGAACTGTGAAAGAAGTTCACATGTGTAAACTCAACATGTGAAACTGTGCAGACTAACACTACCAAGACTTGGTTAAGAAATAAAACCTAAAAACAATACTGTGCTGGACATTGTTGCTTCAGAAATGGTTCTATAATTAATGCAGTTAAAAAGCTAATTGCTCACCGATGTGTGGCCCAGACATTTCTGATTAATAAGACTTTGTAGGGCTGCAATTGCAATTACAGTAAAATCTGAATTCAACAAAACACAATTTACAAATTAAGGAAGCTCTTAATTTTTTTTCTTACATTACATTTCAATCTGAAAAACTCACATGAAGAGAAAAGACAATTACGAGAAATGTATTGATACAATTACTTTGTTGTTGGTGCTCAGACCTTGGCAGGAAACATAACGCTGAATTTTGATAGATATGCGTGAACAGGAGCAAAGAATAGGGCTGTTTCCCCCCCAGGCCTGAAACTAGTGGTGGAGTGGAGAGAGATGAAGTTGGTCAGTCTGTAGACTGCTGGTTAGCGAGACGGTCTGCTGAGCTTTATGGGGAGATCCAGTGGACTGCATGAGCTGACACTAGAGCTTCACTCAGGGACCTGGAAGATGGAAGTCCAGCTGGATAACACAGGTTGAGAGAACCTGTCCATGATGAGCAAGCATGGAGCGATAGTGGAGAGGAAAAACTCCCCGTTGGGAAGAAACCTCTGGCAGAACCAGGCTCAACATGGCGGTCTTCTGCCGGACTGGTTAAGATGAGACAGGGGACATAGTAAGAGTTTGGGAGGAATGACACTGATGAAGCTTTAGCTACGATGGTGGAGGAGGGGCTGGAGGTGGGTTGAAATGGGGTCATCTGAATGAAGTCACACAGCGC